CACGCCAATGCCATGAAGCATTTCTCACGTATTTCTTCTAGTAATTTTATAGCTTTGGGTCTTACATTTAGGTCTTTAATCCATATATATAAAAATATATATATATATATATATATATATATATATGTATGTATGGTCATACTGCCCACATTCACCATTTGGTAAACAAGATCAAGGGGTATGTTGTGGGAAAGGCAGACACAGGCATCCTTTCTGAAGACTTAACTGCTCATTTAGCAAGTATACTAACATATGTTTACCATTACAGAAAAAGTGTTTTATTTTAAATGAGTATCAAACATATGTAGGCTTTTCTTTTCCTCCTAAAAATTAAAACTACCTTTCACAATTGGCAAAATAATAGAACAGCCTTAAGACATTTTTCATGGGAGTGGGGAGAGGTGAAAATCAGCCTTAGGATTCAGCCAAGAACAACAGAGGAAGAAAGTGCATAATTGACTCAAGAACAGCTATCTTTAACATACTGACAGCTTATCCCAACTTTTTGAGTTAAGAGCCAAGAATGTAACAGGACACCAAATTTGCCTAGTAATATATCTCCCTTTAAGGATGTTTAAAAATATTTTTCTCCCTCAAGAAAAATCAGTGTTCATATTATAAGTACTGGGAGAATATAATGTATAAGGAAATTAGGAGAAACAGCCATTCCTATAAATAAGCCAGTAATCTCTGAAAAAATTTCTAAGCCCAATCATTACCAACAGAATAAAATCTATAAAATTACTAAAACCTGAACAACCACTGTCCCAGTTTTCTCTAGGTAAGCTTGGTTTATTCCTATTATCCCACATAATTCTTATTGTCCCCTTTTATTCTGAAAAGTGTCCAAGTTTAGGAAATATTTAGTCATTCTAACTCAACTTCACAGGTTACCATAAAACATTAATGTGAATAAACATTTTTTTCCAAAAAGTTTTAGGCATGAGGAACTTTCAGTTATGAGGCAAAACAGCAGCAACTGGAATAGCAGAAACATACTTCAAAGTACAAAATACCTGATTCCATCTGGTTCTCAGCAGTGCTGTCAGAGCCACAACAGAAAACCAGGTCATGGTAAGGTCTTTACGGAGGCAGTGGGAGTAAGGTCATCTGAGGAGGGAAAGAGTTACTACTCCAGGTAGGTACTGCAGGTTGCTCTGTAAACACTATAATCCTAGTTAGCATGTCAACTGTTTTGCTGCAAGAGTCAAACACTGCAAAGAGCTCCAGTGTTTTGGCTTAGGAAATGCACCTCCAAGACAGCAGGTCTCAGCCCCAGCAGGTGCTGGTTTAAAAGTTCAACCAAAGAATGGAGTTCATAGAAAAAGAGCCTCCCTCTGAAGCCTACAATAATCTGAGAAGTGGTGGGTAATAAAAGTTAGTGAGTTCTCAAAAATCTAAGATGAAACTAAATAAAACACTATCTCTGTCCACAAAAATCTGGCCACCAACCATCTTGAATTCTTGATCTGCCATCTAACATTTGTGCCAACCAAGGCAGGAAACTGCTTTATGGTAGAAAGCCTTGTTGCATCATCTTCCCTTCCACATTCAAAGTGAACAGTTCCTGATAACTTACTCTTCCCTAGCTTCAAACTACAGGCTAGAAACCAAGTACTATAAATGTTACTGGTTATATATGCTTAAGAAATGGAGGGGAGGGAGGGGAGAGTAACAAAGCTTTCCCAAAACCTGCCTGCTGTGTAACCACTGTAGGACAAATAGTGTATCCATAGCTGTTTGCAGATTTGAGTTGCTTGGGAACTTGCAGAATACAAAACCAAAAATCAACATATGAAACTGAATAGTTTAGGGCCAGCAAGGATTTAGCTCAGAGCTTCCGCTGCCTGCCTTGTAAGTGCCAGGTCCAAAAAAACAAACTTCAAGAAACTGAGTAGTTTAACTAGGAAACTGCCAGTATATCTTAAGATTGATGTCAGCTAGATCCCTTTACTATATTCTTGGGATAGGGGTGTGCCCTCGTATAAATCTTACATTGAAAAAAAAATTACTGGGAGAAAAGCATTTTCCCTCCCCAGACTTATTTACTATGAACCCTCACAGCAGAGCTAAGATTTACAGAGAAACACTGTCTGAATTTCTTATGGTTCCCTTAACAATTTATTGGCTAAATCAAAAATGTGTTAGGAATGAGGCAGCTATTATCTCACCTAGCAGCCTACTTTTGACTCTTCTCTCACCGCTAGAAGGAAATTACCCTTAGTCTTGGAATTTATTTGCCACCTCCCACCCCTTGCTTACCTCAACTAAAGGACTAGGGTAAAGACATTGTATTCTCTGCAATTCTACTCCACTTAATGGGCTTTCAAAGGAAGGTCTTTTGCATGACACAAATAAAGCAGTTCCTAAGATTGCTTCTTCATTTTTCATCTGAATTCTAAGCAAATTTAGAAAATTAAGCATTTTTATTCTGTGGGCATCTTTATCTCATGTGAGCAGATAGGACAGCAAATAAGTGTTCACTGGTTACTTTGTACTTTATAATAGCTGATAGATTGTTTCATCAAATTAACTCTTACTACACCTGAAATTCTGGAGACAAGTGGACTGGTTTGGTTGTTACTGTTGCTGATTCTTTAGAATAGAACCACAACACTTAGCTGCCAGTATAAAGGTGGCTTTCCCATTTTCCTGCTACTGACAGGTGCTGGACCTCTTATTTTTAAAGAAACTTACACTTTCACATAGCCACGGAACACTTGTGCAGTTTATCACCTTTGGTGAAAAATTTACAAAACAAAGGAGAAAAGAGTAAGTTTAAATCTCTACCCTCCTTAAAAAAAATGTAAACTTACCAGAAAAAATGTCAGTTGTTTACATAGAATTTACATTTTGGTGAGAAAGGAGTCAACCCTCTAGAAAACCTTAGAAATCTAATCCATTCATATTGTTTTTAAATAGAATGTTCACTTCCCAAAAAAGTTGCTTTACAAGACTAGTCTTCACTGCATGCCTGAACAATCACTACTAGGTGTCCTACCTAGATCAGATATTCTCTCATCTCCCTCTTTTTGTTTTGTATGTCTTATGATAGTTACCATGTTGGTCCTGAACTCCTGAGCTCTAGAGATCCTCCACTTGCCAGTGGCTGGGGCTATAGGCATCCTCACAGCCATTTTCTTCACCTCTAATTTTTATCACAGAATAAACAGCTAATATGGCAAGGGGTATTTATTTTAAAAGCACTCTTTAGAAGGGAAAAGGGCTTCAGGTCTAAAATACTATATTTTTATGCTACCTAATTAGATCAGTGTGTATAGGACATTATTTTTTAAAGGAATACTTTTGGAGAAAAATACCTGTCTGGAATCTTGCCCAAATTCTGAATTACTACTCTGTTCTTTAACAATTTCTATCAAAAAGCAGAGAACTACATAGTTGAGATTTTTATAATAGTTTATATTTGCACACAAATTCTGCCACATTATTCAGCACCACCAGAGTAAAATTCTTGACGCTTTCACTGAAAATGAAAAACCCATCTATCATTTGTTCCCAGTAAAAAACTGATTGTTCTACAAAATCAGCTGTTTTAGTCAGATAAGAACTGAAGTTTGAAAGATAGTCTTTCCATGTTGACAATTCATCAAACAAAGACCATTCTAGGAATATGGCAGAGCCAAAGAATATGAGGCCAAGCAGAAGGACTACAAGTAACAGACAGAAGCTCCAGGGAATCTTGCTAATCAATGTGCCAGTGTCTTGAGGCAAAGAAAGTTTGTCCACATCTACTAGTTTTATATCCTCCCACTGACTGGTATCGAAGTTTTTCATAAAAGGGCTTGTGGGCAAATTAGAGGGGGGTAAGGGAGTTTCCTTGATTACTTTGATTTTCTCCCTGAACTCCTGCATCTGTTGTAGAAATATGATGGGTTCTGACACGTCTTTGAAAGCCTCAGCAATGTTATAGGCCATTCGTTGCTCTTGCAAGATTGTGTTGAGTTTGTTGATCTCTGGGTCATATGCTTGCATAACTGTAAGTTTCATGGTCTCAAAGTCAGACAGGATTTCATTTTTTTTTTGATCTAATGTGTGTTGTAATTTCTCAAAAAACTCCTTCACTTTATCAGAATCTTTAGTCAGTAGCTGTAGGGATTTCCTCTTGCTAGTTTCCAAGGTATCTAAACGAGAAAGAGCATCTCCCCGACGCCAGGTCTCAAAACTCTGGAAGAGGGACTCAAAGGCATCCCTTTCCTGAACATAGGCATCTTCAATAGAACAGAAGACATGCTTGGTGTGGTCACCTCGAGTTGCACAGATCCCACAAATCAGCTGCATATCAGTTAAGCAAAAAATGTTGAGAGGCTGCCCTAAGTGTCCTTTGCACACTGGCATTTTGGGGGAGATCTTGATTTTGTTGTATTTTTCCACAATACCCTTCAGGGAGTAATTAACTTGCAGGCTGTTAACTCCTGTAGCTGAAGTTTCTTTACGGCATGTAGGGCACTTGAATGGAGATGGTCTCCACAAAGAATTCCGCACATTCCCTTCTAGAAGACCTTCTAGGCATTTTTTGCAGAAGTTGTGTGAGCAAGGCAAAACTCGAGGATCATCAAATAGACTGCAGCAAATTGGACACGTGAGGTCTTCTTCAAGCAGCTCCATCACATCCTACCACAGAGAAAGAAAACATGTTATTTTATTCCAGGGATCCCCTCCAGTAGGACTGTATAATAATTAGAAGCTATCTTCACATTAAGATGATCTGAAATAACCAGCCAAACAAAGGAAGTGAGAAATGTGGGAAGGGAATGCACACCGCAGCAGGTTTAATGAGCAGGATGAGAACAAGCTCCACATTAGTAAGGGGCTGTTGTGTGGACTTCCCCTAGCAGTCTTTGGGTAAGACAGGGTTAAGAGTAGGACAAATGCAAGTTGAACCAGCAGGACCCAACTGATTGTTTTAAAACAGAGAGCTGACTACTAGCTGTCAGAAACAAAGCTACTCAGTGTTTATAACAAAATGAGCTCTTTACTTTGGGCCCACAAATGTAAAATGGTATGCTATTTAAAAGAGGCACAGAAATATAAAGCTAAGCATGTACTCTCATATAAACTTATCAGGATTTGGCATATTTTTCTATCTCAAAGACTAGATCACAGGTATTAAAAAGCATGAGAATTGCAATTCACTCTTGCCTAGAAAATTACATGAATTTTTAAGTGGTTGTTGTTTGAACTACCAGAACAGCAATCAAAGCCATTTTGTATTGTAATCATTCTGCAGCATCAGTTCTCAAAATGTAATGGGCAGAAACCTGGTTCTCTCCTTTTAGCGAATCCACGAGGTCACAATCATTTTCATAATTTTGCACCTTGCTCACATTTGCATCAACAGTGTATAAAAGCATTTGTGGGTAGATACTATTAGAAGCTTAAGAGGAATCAAGCAGCAGCAAAATACCAGCACATTCTTCACCACCACACTAAGTGGGGTGAGGAGTGCCAGTTTCATTTGAAAATGTCTTTGATGAAGCAGCAAAAACTATTCATTTTGTTAAATCCTGATGCTTGGGTATGTATCTTTTTAATATTTTATGTAACAAGTACATACAAAAGCACTTCTGCCTACCAGCAGATGGTGTCTGGAGCAAAAGTACTTAATGTGACTGAGCTGCAAGATAAACCAGCTGCCTTTTTTATGGAACACCATTTTTACTTGAAGGCACACTATAGCTATTCAGATTTAGGTTATCTGACAGAAATTTTCTTGAAAATGAATAAAATCAGTTGTGCTACTTAATTTAAGGGGAAAAAATGACAGAATTTTTTGCCAATGAAAAAAGTTGAGTTTTTATATGAAATTAGAATTTTGGAAAACATTTGCCATTGTGAGCTTGACAGCTTCCCACTTTCAAGACTTTCTCTGAGATAAGTGGAAATATTAAAGAATGTGAAGGCTATTTTAATGTAAGGGAATACTGTATAATGAAGTAAGTCAAAATTTAGAGATCTGCATGCATAAAACAGTGAACTAGTATTTTTCAAGTCACCAAAGCTTATTTATAAATCATCCTCATGTAAAAGGTCCACCCAAGGGAAAGAAAAATTTTGAAGAAAATGGAAGATACTCTTAAAAGGCCCAAGAAGAAATTTAAGGCAGTCAAATATTACCAAAAGCAAAAAGGGAAATGTCACACATAAGAAAATTTAGAAGTAACAGCCATCCCAAAATCATAATCAACTTACAGCTCTTAAAATGAACCACAGAGGAAAAATACTACTTGAAAAGTCTTTTTTAAAATGCATCAGGCTGGGGATTTAGCTCAGTGGTTTCACCACCTGCTGCGCAAGCTCAAAGACCCGAGTTCGATCCCCAGTACACCAAAAAAAAAAAGAAAAAAGAAAAAAAAATGCATCAACATTACAACAGATCCCCCTTGTTCTTTTTAGTGATACCACTTACAACTCTTGATTTATAATTTAAAACTTATTTTCATTCACTTTGAAAGACAAATACTATTTTCTTCCCTTAGCTTTCTGTCTCCTCTTTATACTCAAAACTTTCTCTAAGACAAAATTATATTACTACTTCCACAGCTAATTCTTTTAGAGAAAATTGAGACATCAGCCTGACCCAAGAAACCACGGCAGGCTTTGCTGCCTCAAAAGTTTTAATGGAAAATACATAAAAAGGTCTACAGTCACATAAGTAAAGAACATTCTTCACAGTAAAGTGAAGTTTCTTAAAGTATGCCTAAAACATAAAAAGTGAACAAATCAACAGCTTACTCCATTAACATGATCTAAAACATACATTCCCTTTTTTTTTTTTTTTTTTAGAAGTTCAGAAACTATATGTAAACACACACAATCCCTGTTCACTGTTAAAATTACAACTTAATGTCAAATTACCCGTATAGGGCCAGGGATTTAGCTCAGTGGTTCCCATGCCTGCCTTGCAAGCGCAAGGTCCTGAGTTTGATCCCCGGTACAAAACAAAACAAATTACCTATATAAAGGCAAACAACTTTTCCATGATTCACTTCTTCTGAATGTTTCTGAACACCAAAAAAGGTTTAAATTTTGAAGCACACAAATCTATTTCTCCCAAATTAGAAATTTCCCAAGTGTTTTATAGCAACAATTAAAACAGCTGAATATATATTAGTTGTCTACCACCTCATAGAAGTCAACCTCATTTTCCTACCGTACTTCTGTTTTTAAGTTATAAAATTATATGCAATAAAATTCAGTAGAATGTACAGTTCTATTTTTGACAAATGCATAACTGCTTACCACTACCAGAGATTTTTAAACTACTAATCTATCCAGCCAAGAAATACTACAAAAAATTTTTATCAATTCTATACTGTGAGTATAGAACTACTTCTACAAATAAGAACTATAACTACCAAAATATTTAAAATGTAAAAATCTAACAATACACAGGAAAACAATTCATAAAACAGAAATAGAAGCTAGTAGGTATGTATTATTCTTACATTCCTTTATTTTTAAATGACCAGCCCAAAACAAATGTACTTTTTTTTTTTTGAGACAAGGTCTCTGTATGTAATCCAAGCTGGCTCTGAACTTGCAATCCTCCTGCCTCAGCCTTCTGAGCAATAGGATTACAGCAACGGTAAGATTACAGGTATGTGCCACAGTGCCCAGCTCATTCATTCATAAATTCACTCTTAAACAATATAATATTCTCCTTAAGACATCTGTCTTGGTTACTTTTCTTGTTGCTGAGACAAAATACCCAACACCTACAAGTTAAAGGAGGAAAGGGTTACTTAAGCTCACAGTTTGCAGAGGTCTCAGTCTACAGTTGGCTGGCTCCAAGGCAGGGTGGCATGACAGAGGGGGACCTCGGAGGAAAAATAGTCCATGGCATAGCAGGCAGGAGAAAGTGAAGAAGCAAGCAGCATCAATCAGCAAGCCTGCTTTTCCCTTTCATCCCATCCAGGCTACAAGCCTTTTGGGTGATGCTATGTATACACAGGGTGAGGCTTTTGTCTTCAGTAAATTCATTCAGCCTCACCCAGAACTATACTAACTCTAATCATTGGACTAATTTGGTACCACATTCCCTTAATCCCAGTATCACATGCTTAATCCACATTCACAAAGCCTACATCCAGCTACTTCCAAAAAGCCCCACCTATGACCACATGAGTCTTTGGGGAAGCCATCTAAATAAAAGCCATAAAAACATGTATTAAATTTTTTTTAAAAAAGGATTCCTATTATCATATTCCATTCCATTGGCTGTTGACAATAGTTTTTGAAAATGTTACCCATGATTTCTTTCAGTTCATATTAGCAAAGAAAAAGAAAAAGCCAATAAATTAGGCTTTGTAGCTCAGAAATTTTCCCCCCAGGCTTCAAGCATGCTAAGGCAAGCACTACTACTGTGCCACATCCTCAACCTCTTATCTTAAGAGATTTAAACTAAACTTCCATCTTGCCTTGAAGCATCTTCAAATTTAGGAATTTCAAAAGAGTACCTAAGAGTATCAGGTAACTAGATGGCAAACACTGAAACTTATTTCACAGACATAATTTCATAAATTATGCTAAACTCTACTAAACCAAAAGCCTATCATACCTTGGAACAATGTTTGATTTTTTTTAAAAAATCAAATCATGTATGAGCACCTCACCTCTCCATGCATATCATCTTTACAAAAAAAATCATACTTTCTAAAAAATGAATTTTATTGGTACATTTTAGGTATACAATATAATGACATTCATCATTGGAAATTTGCACCTTTACTTAATCTCTCTTGGTTCTTATTTTTTCCCCATTGCCCTGCCCTCCCTTCAACCCCTCCATCCAAAAATCATACTTTTGTGGAGCTTAGTAAAAAACTAAGAACAAGACACTTGCTACCATACTTACCTGAGTTTAAAATATAAAAGTTTAAGGCAGTTGATATTAGTATACATCTGCCTATTACCTAACGTATCTTAAGAAAAGATGATGATAAGAGGGTTAGGAATGAAAAAAATGCCACACTTAAGCTCATCTAGCTAAACACCTAACTTTAAAAATACTGGCCCTTCCTCCCAGTGAAGACCTCTCAATTGTACACAGGTAGGTGTAGAACCTGAGTTCTCTCAATTCTTAGACCTTAGTGCTATCGAATTCAGTATTCTAAAAGGTAGGGATGTAGCTCAGTGGTGGAGCATGTATTGAGATTGAGCCCTGAGCTCAATCTCCAGCATCTAAAAACAAATTCAGGGCCAGGGGTTTAGCTCAGTGGTTCAGCCACCTGCCTCACAAGCGCAAAGACCCGAGTTCGATCCCTGGTACCAAAAAAATACAAATGAAAAATAAAAACAAATTCAGGCCTGGAGATTTAGCTCAGTGGTGCTGCCTCCTGCCTCAAAGTGGTGCAAGGTCCCAAGTTTGATCCCCTATACCAAAAATATCCTCATAAAATGGTTTAATCACAGCTCTTTTAAAATTCTATGGGGTTTTTTGTTTGTTTTTTTTACAAATTAGGCTGTAAGACACACTCCAGTGAAGAGGAAAGCACAAAACCTACTCAATACGTACCTAGGTCGAAGCACTATTTACCCTTCATAAAATGAGGATTTTTTTTTTTTACACTAACTTCCTCATATTGTTTGAAAATGTTGTAAATGGCTAAACTATGTAACTGTAAGGTTTTTAATTATGCATGTGTAAAATATCATGAAAACTATAAATACTCATTTAAGGTATCATATTAGAGGATGAGGGTATTAACCAAGAAAAGGTCCTGAGAGAGATTTGAACTGTAATTTCAAGGGAATCCAAAGCAAACGTTACAAAGGATATCAGGTACAAAGTTTATAAAAGTGGGCATATCTGAACAAAACTTATGGCAAAGAGGAGGATCAAATAACCTATCAAAAATGCACAAGATGAAAAGAACAATTTAATATTATGGAAGTCTTAGCAGGGAGATTTAATAAGTCTGGTGATTAACCCCCCCCCCCCAAGTATTTTTAGGGAAGGATAGGAGAGACTGAAGAAATGTTATCTTCTGGGGATGCAGTTTAAATGACCAGTATAGCATTTGCCTAGAATGTGCAAGGCCCTGGGTTCAATCCCTAGCACCAAATACATTTTAATAATGTATCTTTTGGTTGTGCAACAAAGAAATATAACCAGTTAATGAACAGCTCCATCAAGTTCTACTGGAAGGAGTGCCTATATAAATGAAATTTTGCGTTTAAAAAGACAAATCTATAAAGAACTCTAGAGTCACAGAAAACACAACCCTATTATACAAGGCCCAAAAGCCTGACAATTCACCAGACACAAGAAGAAAAAAATGCTGCTGAAGCCTCTCTCTTCCTTTCCAACCTAAGTATCTGGATATAATACATTTGCAGTAACTACCACACAAAAAATTGCCAAATATACATTCTATTTTTCTGAATTTTGACAAAATATGAAAGGAACAAAGACCACCAATGAAAGAAATGGATGGGAAAATATATATTCTACACATAGTTCAATTTAAGAAAGCTGGCTTATTTTTCTTAAAATGTGAGGTTATCAACAGAGAAAAACAGTTTACCTCTGTCCCCGGCAAGCAGGTATATTTGGCAGGGTTGCTATTTCCCACCACAGATCAGGTTGTTTTTCACGTGTCGACTGACAAGCTTGTAGCTGCAGCGGAAAAAAGAAAGGAGGATGTTATGAATTTACGTGCATAGGATCTGCACTCTTGACCAATTTTTTCAATCGCCCCACCAATAAAGCCAGCCCGCAAGAACTACTGAAGGGCCAAGCAGCCTGGAGACAGAGGTTGGAGCTCTTTGTACTAAGCTTGCTTCAGAGTTAGGGCGGCACAAGGCACCCCAGTGCTCTTGAGACGCGGCAGGTTTTTGTGGAGCTGAGCAGGTGGCCAGGCGGCGCCCAGCCCATGCCGCTCCTCCCCGCGCCCTACCAGTGCCCCTGGGTTCCCACTGGAGCTCACACTCGCCTTTCACCAGTCCCCACCCACGCTGGTCAGTGCAGGCCTGGGCAAGTCCCCACCCTCGCTGCAGGTTCAAGGTCACCCCCCTTCTCCCCAGAGAGGAACCCGGCGGTGGGTACTCATCTCCAACCTCCGGCCACGCAGGAAGCCTCACACCTGAAGCCACAGCACCGCACTCTCCACCTGCCGAGGCCGCTTTGCACACGCTCAGCAAGGCCGCAAAATGGCCTCGCGGCGCTGGGCGGCCCCGCCCACCTCCACCAGCCCTCGCGGCCCCGCCCGAGCTCCCTCGTCCGGCCTCGAGCCCAGCCTTTCCCGGGCGGTTCGAGGGCTCTTCCGGTGGGCCGCCTGGAAGAGGCGGGTACTGGCGCTCACTTTTCTCCTTTGCAGGGGGCTGCGCGCGGACACCGTGCCCTTGTGGGGCCACCCTGAAGGAAGTCTCAATTAAACGGCCGCGCAATGAGATGGCTGGGTTTGGATTGTTGTACTTTTTTTTTTGTTCGTAGCATTTTTAGGAACAAAAAAAAAAGCCCAACCCTTCACACCACTTCATTTGCATCTCAGGAGCAGAAACCGGGCCACAGCGGCTTGGGACCGGAGACCACTGACTGCTCGTCGGTCCAGCCTGGGCTTGGGCCAAGTGCAACTAAAATGAGGTCAACTATCGTCTCCCTTTTCCCAACATTGCGTCAGTTTCCTTTCGATTTTTAGGCAGAACACCAGCGATCCAATTCTCTTTTTTTAACACTGTCTTGTAAGCAAAAGAGCACTACTGCTTTTTTTCTTTGAAGGGGAGAAAGAGCTTTAAATTTGGTTTTAAAGTATCCGCTGTTAATAGTTAAGTTAATAGTTAAGTCGCTAAGCTAACTCTTCTGATGTCTTCTAACTCTTCTAACTCTTCCACTCTGTATGGGCACCTGGTTTAATATCAGACCATTAAGTCAATGAGCGGTCAGTGAAGGGTACAAAGATAAATGAAATGACTCCTAAAATTTTAAATCATGAGAGAACTGAGGCAAGTACAGAACCATATATGTCTTCAGCAGCACATATACTAGAATAGAATAGTTCCTATAATTTTTGTTGTTTAGTCTTCTCAAGAACACTGTGGAATGGGAATTCGGATTCTTACCCCATAAATGAAGAAACAGGTGAAATGACTTAAACATGAAAAACAGAGCAGAGGCTAAAATCAGATTCCATGTACAGATAATCTTTCTACAGCACCATGACTGACTCCAGTGCCAATGAAAACTGCATCTCGAGTCTCCACTAAAATATTATTAAAAACAAATTGGCTTATAGAAACATTTCAAATACCCTAAAAGTAAAATGATAGTGCAGATTACTAACTCATAGACCAAAAATTATCCTTAATATAATTACGCATGTTTATATAGTTAGATCAGGTTGATGGTGAATACCAATATGCTTCTGCCCAACTAAATGTAAAACACTTACTAAATCTGCATAGCAACCCCTGGACTGTTAAAATTACTAAAGAGCACAGTATATTAAACTCGCTTTAGTATACAAAAATGAGGAAGGAAAAAAGAATAGCTTTTGCAAACTGCTTGCTGTGAGTATCCAGGCTGGAAGAAGAGAGTAACTTGCTGGATGAAACTGGCATGCACAGATGTATCTAGATCCTGTTAGGGGTGACACAGGAATGATCAAAATGCTCCTCACACTGGAATTTTCTTCTATTGACTGCTCTTTAAATAAGTAAACAGCTGACACTTGAAATTCACTTAGCACAGCAATAAGACTCACTAGTTTTCAAGTCACTTGCTACCTCTAAGCATCAGTGTTTTGCTCTGTAAAATGAAAATTGTGATACATTTGGTTACAATTAGGTAATATATAAAGCAACCAACATTGTGTCTGACATATTAAGTACTTAATGGCTGTCAGTGCAACATGGGAGAAGAAAACCATGCTTGTTTTGTTGCTTTGGATTTTAAAACCTGGGCTCAAGGACAAAGTCTTGTGATAAACTCTGCAGGTGAGGAAGCTAGTACCAAAATTTTAGCATTTCTATATCTAGCCCAGGGTAGTTGCTTAAGAACACATATCCTACTTCTCAACCCCTTCTTCTGTGTCTAAGCAAAGGAGAAAAAAAGGAAAAATATTCAATTAAAGGACAACTTTACTTTTTTTTAAAGCTATATATTTTCAGAGAAATGAACATTCAAAATATTCCATTAAAACTGAAAAATACCTGTAAAAATCTGTTCATCAAAAAAGACAGAAAAATACCCAAGACTTGAAATTAAATGGATTTCTTCCTGGGTTTGAAGACAATTCTAGATTCCATATATTTCAGTACAGCAAGATCAGTTAGCTTTGTAAGAGACTGAGAGACATTTAAGCAACAGTAAACTTGGCCTTTAGTTGTTTCAGTAGATGCAAAGAATTTTAAGAATAAAATAATTCAGGTAATTAAGGCAATACTAACATATGCTTATAATTTTATACTCAAACTATATAATCCTCAAAATTGTTCTAGAAACCAAAAATACTAGTCCAGGAATTTCCCAAACCCAAGGCTTTGGCTGAAAAGAGACCTGAAGAGGCTATCACACACCCTCCAGAGTGTGCTTTTATCTTGCTTTTTCCTCTTTTACTTAGCCCAAGCTTGCTCTGAAGAGCCAGTTTCTCCTTCACGCTTCACTTTTACTTTTTCAAATAAACTTTGTCACTGCAAAAAAAAAAAAAAAGAGGCAAGGCAAATCTTGATAATGGACTGGTGCCTCTCTTTCTCAGAGAAGTGAATATGCCAAAAAAAAAAAAAAAAAAGAGAAATACTGAGATTAAAAATAGAACCTTACTGTGAGAAATGGGAAGCCACTGAAGAATAATTATGCACATGGCACTAAAAAAATGAAAGCAGAATTTTTGGAATATTACCTGGTAACATCCAAGATTTAAGGGAGAAGAAATTTCCTTTACTGCTTATTGAAAAGTATAGATTTTTAAAGATACAATTATAGAAAAGTTCAGCATGTTGTAATCTTATTGACCCATTTGACAAAATATTAAATTCCTCATAAAATAAATATAGAATTAATGATATTCTAAAACCCTCCAAAAATTGTATGTACTTATATATCATCTGTACAAATTATCTTGCTCCATTGTTACTGTGCTGTGTAAATGATAGTGTTGTTTAGCTACATTTTAGTGGAGAGCTACAGCTTTAAAAATCAGTTTTTCTAAATGTACTACTGCTTTGATATTTTAACAATGATTACACTTGTTATAACAATTAAATGTTTTTAACTAATATATATATTTTATGAAGAATAACTTTATAAGGGCCTTTAACAAATGATTTAGGTATATTTGTAGTTGTTTGAAAACTTGATTTATACAGTATGGTTTTTTATTTTGAATTTTTGTTAGGTTCACTAATCATTATATACTTCATTTTTATCTTGAAAAATTACTTTATGATGACAAAATATTATTTTGGTGTAGAAAACTTCATCTGTTATATGGGACATTTTTAGACTATTTCTTCTGTAAAGGTGTAATGTGGTACAGCTTCTGCAGTTTTTAGTAGCTGATTCCTATACATTAAGTACACTGTGTCTTAAAGTCAATAGGACATATACAATTTTGGTTCTAAGGATCTAGATTTATCAGAAATCTACAGAGCACTGCACAAGAAATACATGCTTCATATTTTTTAACATGAGCCAGGTTGGGCCTCCCTGACATCAAAGTGTTTTGTAATAAATGCCTTGTCAATATGTGTTTATCTTATAATGGTCTCGTTCATTGCTCCATGCAAATTCTTGCTAGAATGCAGCCAGATCTCCAGAAATTTGGGATGGATTTAAATCAGCCCACATCCTTCCCGGTTGCACCAAAGACACAGATAATTCTGAAGATGCACGAGACTGATTAAATAATAGCAGCACATTTTAGGCATTTTGTGAAGGTCATTGACCTCTGGGTTGCAAAATCCACTGGACATTTTTTCAGTTCTCATTTTCCTTGATCTTTCAGTGGTACTCTGAGTACCACTGCCACCTTCTTAATAAGCCCTATTTTTGTGGCCTGGCTTGAGTCACTCCTGGCTTTTCTTCCAGCCCAGGAACATGTGCTGGGTTTCCTCTTTAAATTCTGAAAATCAAATCTCAGGTTTTGTTGGTTTGTTTGTTTTGCCATACTACTGACAGAACCCAGGACCTTAGGTATGCAAAACATATGCTCTACCACTGAGGTGCTTGTCCCACAGCCCAACACTCAGTTTTAGGACTCCCAGGGATTCAGTGATCATTTAATGACCTTCATATTCCCTGTAGAGGAGTGATCACAAACTGATGACTTGTGATTATAGTTACACTATTTTTAAACAATGAAAGTTTGAATTTAAATATTTTAGGAGAGACATGCTTTTTCTCTCCCACTCCCATAACCTTGCCTCTCTGAAAGCAATTGTTAGCCTTGGCCTGCCCAAGCTTGTACTCTCTGCAGCTTTAAGGCTCCTGCCATCTAATGTCCCCTCTCACCAGCCACCTCCCATCCCTATCCCCCAGACATAGCACAGCTGTCTCAGGTTGAATTCCTAGATGTTCCAGGCCAAGAATAGAATCCTGTTAATCATCTCATGCTGTCCTGTACTTTTCTTCCACTGTGCATACAGCAGTTTGTTATATTTTCTTTATGTAATTATTTGAAT